TAGTCCCAGCTGCTTGGAAGGCTAAGGGAAGACAATTGCTTAAGCCCAAGGGTTTGAGGTTTCTGTGAGCAATGATGCCACACCACTGTACCCAGGGCAACAGAGTGAGACTCTTTCTCAAAAATACATTAATTAATAAATTACTTTGGCAGCCCAGTCAAGAGTTTCACATCTGCAATCCTAGCACTCTGGGAGGTCAAGGTGGGTGGACTACTTGAGCTCAAGAGATTGATAACAGCCTGAGCAAGAGTGAGACCCTGTCTCTACTAAAAATGGGAAAAGGAGCTGGATATGGTAGCCAGAGCCTGTAGTTGCAGCTACTCAGAAGGCTGAGGCAGGAGGATCACTTGAACTCAATACTTTGAGGTTGCTGTGAGTGAGGCTGATGCCATGGCACTCTAAGCTGAGGCCACAGAGTGAGACTCTGTCTCAAAAATAAATTAATTAATTAATCAATTAAGTAAGCTTACTTTGGAGTCCTAGTATCTACAAATAGAAAGTTTAGGGTTTCATCAAGCCCTATTGAATCTGGGATCAATACTTCTCTTTTATAAATAAGAACTTGCCAGACACATGTGAGTTCCTCAAGCTGGGAAGTCCTTGATGAGTGAGATTTTGTTTTAGTGCCAGTAATGTTTAATTCTCTATACTCCTAGCTGTCAGCATTGTGCTTTGTACACACTAAATATATAATAACTGTTGGCTGAATAAAGGAAAACTGAAGTTACGGTGGGAAAACGAGTTCTACATTGTAAACCAGGATATCCTCCCAATTTTGCCACCTACTTTCTGTGTGCTAATTAGGAAGATTTGACTATCATCCATCTATTCGATAAAGATCCATGAAATACTTGTAACATAAACTGAAAATCTGAAAAGAAGTTGTGCATTAGTTTATGAAAATGGTCCTATTTTAGAAGCTCCTGGCATTGATTGACATTGTACTTTTACATAGGAGAGGTATGTGTGTGTAAACAGCCTCCTGTCCTGTATGTATATCATAGATGTATAATTATACAATGCAAAACCCCCAGAAAATTGGTACAATTCTTCTGAAAATTCACATGACAAGAGTCAGCCGTAGTTATACATCTATCCATACTCATCGACCCAGTGATCACCTTCATGGGGTTGTCTTGAATGAAATCACTTAACAGAAGGTAAATAATTGTGAAACATTATCTGTCATTAT